TGGCTAGTGTGGGTGGTGGGTGGGGATGAGTTGGGGTTCTGGGCCTGGGGTGGAGGGTGGTTGTGGGATGGGTTTGGGTGTTGGAGTTTGAGGGTGGTGGTCATGGGGGAATGGAGAGAGAGAGAGAGAGAGAGAGAGAGAGAGAGCTTTTTATTTCATTTTTTAATATTTATTTATTTTTAACTTACAAAATGACCAATTTGCCCTTATATTTAATGGCAACATTGACAAAATGTAACAGTAAGACCAATTGACCGAATAATATAGAGTTGATGGACCATTTGAGCAAATAATTTAATTGAGGGACCAAAATGTAAATCGGGTATAAGTTTGAGGACCATTTAAGTAATTAACCCGAATTTTAATTACTGAAATTATGTGCTTGAATTTTGAGCAGCAAAGCATAGCCCCAAATCAAAAGTCAAACCCATTCAAACATCACACAAACCAAGAGGGATAATACCCAAAACCATTCAAGAAATCAAAACCAAGAGGGTTGGGCTCCTTTTGTTTATAAATTAAAAAATTGTTTTTGTTTTATGGTTTAGAAAATATTTGGAGTTTTTGGGTTCCGTTTGGTAGGCAAGAAAATTTCAACAAGAAATTGAGATTTTGGAGGTGGCCGGTTTGGTTGGGGAAGGAGTGGTTTTGAGGATTTTTGGACGGCGAAGCTGGTTAGATGGAAGGGAGGAGCTGGTGGGGCAGTGATGGCTACCCCAAGTGGTGGTGGGAGAGGGAGTTGGGTACAAAGAAAGAAAGTGGGGAAGAGAAGAGAGAAGTAATGTAATTTTATAATTTTTTTAAAATAAAATATTTTATTATTCTTTTCACACGTTTATATGGCATATATATTAATAAAAGAACGGGCCCTATTTGTGTCGCATCAGCATTTTTAACATAATTTTAACAGTGTTAACAGTGGGGGGCAAAGTGAACCACCAAAACCTGGGTTAAGGGGGGTACCCTAAGTCACTTTTAACTTTCAAGAGGTAAAGTGAGATTTGACCATAGTTTCAAAGAGCACTACAGTAAATATTGGCTGTTCACTCACAAACCTTTAACTTCACTCGAATGTGTGGCAGACAAACGTCAATCATTTTCCTTCAATCAATTAGGTAATGGTCTCTATAGACTCCATTCTTGACTTTACAGCATATAGTCTATTGTGAACATGCGTTGTGAACATGTGTTACACATGTGAACATAATTACCCGCAAGCCTTAGTGGTTGAATGCAATCTATGTGGAGTGCAATATAAGGTGGAGATAGAATCTCTTTTTCAACTTCTAAATATCTTTTATGGGAATTAGAATTTATAAATAAATTCCTCCTCCCAAAGTTAGGCTCCCAGAACACGACCAGTAATGGCTAGGAACCTTGTTGGTCTAGGTGTTAGTAGTCATGCAGATGTATTGCTTCCAAGTGCTGGTGGTGGTCTATACTTGGTTTGTATGATCCTGATGTCCCTTTCAGTAATTTCAGCTATAATACTTTCTTGTGGTAGATCGTCTCGCAAGAAGGAAGACAATAGAGATACCGATGGAGGAGACAGATCGTCTCGCAAGAAGAAAGACAGATCGTCTCGCAAGAAGAAAGACAATAGATATACCGATGGAGGACACGGAGATGGAGGAGACGAAGATGGAGGAGATGGAGAAGGCGGAGATGGAGGAGATGGAGGTGACGGTGAACATGGCCACCATGGCCATGAGGGCGGGGGACATGGCCACCATGACCAAGGGGGCGGGGGACATGGCCACCATGGCCATGGGGGCTGGGGACATGGCCACCATGGCCATGAGGGCGGGGGACATGGCCACCATGACCAAGGGGGCGGGGGACATGGCCACCATGGCCATGGGGGCTGGGGACATGGCCACCATGACCATGGGGGCGGAGGACATGTTGGTGGTGGAGGACATGTTGGTGGCGGAGGACATGTTGGTGGTGGCGGTGGAGTTTTTTAGGAAATAGATCTTATATAGTTGTTTCATAAAGGAAGCTCAAATTTATGTGAAGAAAAAAAAAGTTCTAATTTTGGTAAACAAGACATGTAGAGTTCTCGTTAATGCTGGTATTGGATTCTAGGCTGTGTTATATTAAAGGAACTTCCCATATGAATATATGATGGTCAGGCTGTGTATCTTTTATTAATTGTCATGGTCTCGTCATTTTCGATTTAAAATTCACTTTAACTTTCTATCAACAAAAATGCAGTAATTCGTAAATTTCCATTTTGAACAGTGCTATTTTCTGCCATTTACAATTTGAGGACGATTAACAATTTCCGTCGTCAAATGAATTGATAGAATGACCATTTTTTAACCCCTCAAAGTAATATTTTGAATCATAAAAATTTGATTTGAACACACAACATGATAGGCATTTTACAGCTTGTAATAATAATGGTCTCATCATATATAAAGATTATACAAGTAAGGGACTTGTAATCAGTGACAGACTTACAGAGGCGCAAGGAGGTGCAGCTGCACCTCCCCTTGTCAGAATAAGCATTGCAAGTGCAGGAAAGTTGCCTCTCCGCTCAGTCCGCTGTGCAGTTTACCTGTTCGACAAAAGGCCACTAAGAGTTCCTTTCCTTTGTTGCGCTGAGCTATGCGCTATGTGCCGAGTATGTTTTTTTTTTTTATTATTATTTATAATTCCTAGCTAAAATGACATCATTTTGGACCAGGGAAATTATAAAACAAGATCTCTATTGTAGATGGAGAAGAGGGTGGAAACTCCAACAATAATGAGATTTTGCTTCTTTTTTTAAAGTTCCTTTTTGAGAGATTCTTTTTGTCCCATCACACCAATTCTAGTCCTTATAAAACATTATCAAATTCGTAACTCTTTTTACGTCTTCAGTCTGTTTTTTCAATTTTTTTTTCCTTTTTTTTTATTTTTATAAAAATTGATTCATCGATCAAATCTTGTGCCAAGAAAGAAAATATTGTATCAATAAACTTTTAACCTTTCAAAATTGCACCTCTATCGAAAAATTCATGGGTCCGCCGGTGCTTATAACTCAAGTAGTTAAGAGCAATTATCCATGTATCTGAGAACCTATGTTCAAATCTCTTACAGAGTCTCTGATCTCTTATCCCCTCATATGATATGTATATTCAAAATTGTTGATGCGAATCTCTTAATTAATGAATGAGATTTATTTCTTTGATTAATTAAAGAATTTATTTTCTTATTTTATATAGTTGACAAATCATTGTATAATTAGAAGATACTATCCTAATTGGTTATTGTATCTATTTCTATGTAAAGCACTCATATAAACTCCTATGTATACCTCCTTATGGAGAAGAATAAAACTTAACCAAAAATATTCAAACCATATTCATATTTTAGCATGGTATTAGAGGAATCGATCCTAAGTTGTCTCTAAACCTTCATATCAAATTTCTCATATTCAAATCCATAACATTAAATCAAAATCCTCAAAACCAAATCCCTCAACTATAAAGTCCTCAAATCCTCTTATCAAAATCCCTAAACACATACCCTCATATCTTATATACATACCTCTCAAATCAAATTCCTACATCAAATTCCTACATAATATTCCTCATATCACATTCCTCCAATCAAATTCCTTACATTCTCATATCACATCTTACTTCCGCTGTGATGTCAGGACCCCCTACGATTCTCTCCCTTATTACAGACTCACAAAAGCATGTGGTCAATCCTGTTGACCCGGCTACTTGGACTCGTGCTTCTATTGCCACCACCAAAAGTTCTACTTTTCATACATCCTCTCAAAAATCCGCTTACATTCTCATACGTATGTTTTTGCAATTTTTTAACTAAACCGTCGTATTTTACACCTTTAATCCAGTCTTTTAAAATTTTCATTTGTCCTGTGCAAATCCTGCATAATGAAAATGTTATCAGAATTAAAATGATATACAGAGCTATTAATTAATATCATACAATTAACTGCATAACTAATGTCATTATACAATACAACAATCAATCAATCCATATATCTTCACACCCACCTCTAATATTTTCACTCCCAAACTCACCCACTAGGTCATCAAATGTGTCAACAGTGGTATCTCTTGAGTAAATGGCTCACACTCAATTCTAATATCACCTAGCATATCATCACCAATAACATCATAATATTCTCTATTAGGAATTGATAACACTACCAACCAATCACGATGCATTGGGTTGTCAACAAAAAAGACTTATTTGACTTGAGAAGCCATAACAAATTGGTCATTCCTATGTCCAATTTTACTCAAATCTACAAGGGTAAATACAAGTTCGTCGACTACAAGACCAGAAGTGTTATCTATCCAATCATACCTCAAGACTGGGATTCTAAACTTTTGGTAGTCAAGGTCCCAAATTTCTTGAATGACACCATACAAACCCATATTGGAGACAATAGGGTTTTTATCCTTGGCACTAGCAACTTGCATAGTATGTGCAAGTAAATAAACTCCACTACTATTTTGGACAGTTCACATATCATCTTGTACCTTGGTGTTAAATTTTACACCATTAATAAGATAGCTCCTATATGATGGCACTACCATGCTTGGACCAGCTGCTAGCCACCTCAAATTTTCTAATACGCCATTATTGTCTTCCCTATTAAGTTCACTTTGAACCTGCAAATTAATTATATATCTTAATTCAATCTAACATAAAAAAATGAAAATTAAAAGTTCAATATGTTATTCAATAACATATACCTTAAAGTGTAGCCATTGAATGAAAGTGCTATTGTGCTTATCTTGCAGCCACTTTGTTCTCTTTCTAAATTTTGGATAAGTGGTCTTGATGTGGATCATATGTTCTCTATATTGACAAGAAAAAAATCAAGCATTATAGTTCCTTGTATATAAGATACACTAAAGAATAATAATATTTAAAATGGCTACTTAAAGAATAAAACTCATACTCGATATAAGGTAGGACTTCCTCTGTATTCTCCAAGATATATAGATATGCCTGGTTCAACGGGTCCCAATCAAGTAAGCTCACTGTGCAACCTAATAATGGCTTTGAAACTCCCATCTTCTAGCTTGATGGCACTCCAACTATACTAACATCAGATAAATGCTCGGTGCAAAACTCTACAGCTTCTTCAGCTATATACCGCTCAGCAATGCAACCTTCGGGACGAATACAATTTTGAATATACCCCTTTAGTACTTTTATATATCTTTCAAATGACTACATCCATCTAAAATAAATTGGCCCACATAGATGAACTTCTCTGACAAGATGTACTACTAGATGAACCATGATATCAAAGAATGAAGGGGGAAATTATTTCTCAAGCAAACACAAAGTAACTACTACATCTTTTTCCAACTTATTTAGCTTGGAAATATCTACCGTCTTTGCACATATAGCATTGCAGAAGAAGCATAATTGAGTTATTGCATACCTTGCAGGCTTCAACAAAACAGAACGAATTGTCACAAGGAGCAATTGTTGCATCAAGGTATGACAATCATAAGAATTAAGGCCAAGAAGTCTTGAATATTTTAAAGATACAAGAGTTTTTATATTTGAACAATAACCTTCAGAGACCTTCATACGATATAAAGAATTGCAAACCACTCTCTTCTCTGCTCTTGAAAAATTCCAAGGCCCTGGAGGCATGTGAGCACGTCTTTCTCCATACTTGGGTTGCAAATCAGTTTTGACCTCCATGTTCAATAAATCTAACCAAACAACAATCAAATCTTTATTTTTTCTAGGGATCTCCAGCAATGTACCAATGTCACTATTGCAAACATTCTTCTCAATGTGCATAACATTTAGGACATGCTTCACAGGAAGGTATTTCCAATGCTCGAGATCAAAGAATTTTGATTTCTTCTTCCAACAAATTCTGTCACCATCATTCTCACCAACACTTCCCCCATTTTTTTAGCCCTAGTTGTAATTAATACCTCCAACCATCTGCAGTACTTCTTCTCCGGTTAATGGCTAGGGAAGCGTGCCATATTCAAGTTTCTCATTAAAACCTGCACGCTGCCTCCGATATGGATGATTGATTGGTAACCATTTTCTATGCTCGATGTAAAAAATTTTGTGGCCATTTTTTAACTTGTGACTAGGTGTATCATGGCCTCATATTGGACAAGCTTTATATCATTTAACAACACAGCCAGATAAGTTCCCATAGGCAGGAAAATCATTAATTGTCCACAGTAATACACCTCTAAATGTAAAGTATTCTCCCATGTGTGCATCATACACTTCTCTTATCCCATCCCACAGAGATTTTAAATTATCAATCAAAGGCTCTAAGTAGACGTCCATATCATTTTCGGGTTATTTAGGACCAGAAATCAATAAAGTCAACATCATGAACTTCCGTTTCATGCATAGCCATGGTGGGAGATTATATGCAACTAAGATAACTGGCCAACAACTGTATCCGCTACTTAAAAAACTGTGGGGATTGAATCCATCAGATGAGAAAGCCAATCTCAAGTTTCTCTACTCTTTACCAAACTCGGGCCATTTATCATCAACAAGTTTCCAAGACGGGAATCTGCTAGATGAGACATATAACCTTCAACTGATTTTCTAGCAGCATGTCAAGTCAAACTCTTAGCTATCTTGTGTGATTGAAACATCCTTTTAAACCTTGAAATTGGCGGAAAATACCACACCACCTTCTTTCGCACTCCCCTTTTCAAGATTGAATCTTTGTCTTCCTTTCACCTTGAGACACACCCCCTTTCAAGTCAAACTCTTAGTTGATTCTTCATAATCCTTCCTATACAAGACGCAGTCATTAGGGCATGCGTGGATTTTCTCATAGCTCATCCCTAAAGCAGACAAAGTCTTTTTTGCCTCGTACATAGAGGAAGGTAGTGTATTTTCTTCTGGAAGCAAATCTCCTTGAATTATCAATAATTCTATAAAACAAACATCACTCATGCCATGTTTTGCTTTCAAATTATATAACTTCACCAAAGCCAACAACTTCATGTACTTACTGCAATCAGGATACCCATCTCCACACTTAATCAAATTGCAAACTCATAAGGATCAGATCCAATATCGCTTAAATCATTATCATCCATCCCTAATTCTTTAGAAACAAAACTAAACCTACTTTGCTCATTTTCTTCTACATTTCTACTAGTATTAGTAGT